TCGTGCAGTTGATTCTGCTATACAGTTGTAGGCGGGTGCGTGGGACGAGTCTGATTCAGGGATGCGAACCAGTTCAGGCATGGAGAAAATGCAAGGACGAAAATCGCGATATGGTGTACGTAATGGTCGAGACCACGGATCACTCTCGAAAATTTATATGTGGTAAATCTAGTAAAACTTTCGCTAAATGGGATAAAATCCTGCAATACATTCGAAAACTGAAATTCACTCTGAACACGAAGACACAACGAGCTGGAGATTACACTCTGAAACTGACATGAATATACATGTTGGACTAAAGATAAATAGGAGCCGGAGGAGGAGTGGCAGTATTCTCAGGGTGGAAGACGCGGAAGGAGCAGGCGAGGTCACCGGCGACGGTCATGACGGCGCCGTCGTTGCCGCACTTGCCGCAGTAGTTGGGTGCAGAGAACACGGTGACAAGCTTCCCGCCGGCGAACCCTTGGTCGTACCCGCCGTCCTTCATCTCGTGCGCCCTGCACACCATGGCCAGCCCGTGCCTCTCGCAGAACTCCTCCACCACGTCGGCGCCGAAGGTGAAGGACGTGCACCTGCGCGGGTCCCCCCACCCCCAATCGTCGCCGTCCGCGGCGGGGTCCGACCACAGCAGGTCGCACACGAGCCCGTGCTCGGGGACGTCGGCCAGCGGGCGCTTGATCTGGCGGATCTGGTCCGGGCTCTCGAGCTCCGGCGAGAGCCCGCCGTGCACGCACAGGATCTTCTTCTTCTTGTTCTTGTTACTACCCTCGCAGCCGACGAGCGCCGCCAGCGGGAGGCAGGCGAAGACGGCGTTGAGTTCCTCCCAGAGCCTGACTATGCGGCGGCCGCGGGAGGCGCACTCGGAGTAGAAGCCGTACTGCTTGTTGACGGCGGCGCACTCGTGGTTGCCGCGGAGGAGGAAGAAGGCGTCCGGGTACTTGAGCTTGTAGGCGAGGAGGAGGCAGATGGTCTCGATGCTCTGCGTGCCCCGGTCGACGTAGTCGCCGAGGAAGAGGTAGCGGTTGGCGGCGGAGGGCGGCCCGATCTCGCGGAAGAGGCGGAGGAGGTCGGGGTACTGGCCGTGGATGTCGCCGCAGATGTTGACGGGGGCGGAGAGCTGGAGCAGCGTCGGCTGCTTGAGGAGGAGCTCCTTGGCGGCCGCGCAGAGGTGCCGGATCTCCTCGGCTTTCAGCGGCGGGGCGGCGGACGGCGAGCTGAGGGGCGCCTCCGCGTCCAGCAGGCGCTGGATCACGTCGTCCAGGTCCAAGTCGGCCGCCATCGATCGCGTTCTAGCAGTTTGGTTACTGCTGGATCGATCGGAATTGCGTAGGTTTTGCACTCTTGCTTGCTTGATTTGCTGGGCAGGATCGATAGATCGATCGATCGCCAGCGTATATGTAGGTAGAATAGGATGGACGGGCCGATCGTAGTTGGGATCGGAAGCGGACTCGATTGATCGGGATTATTATCTCTTTTTTTTTTCTAAGGAATTTTTTTATCTTTTTTTTATTGAAAACCGCCGCAACTATCTCACCTTTAATTTTTAACGGGCGGGTTTCTATAAATGAAATTACGTTTTTTAGTTGTAAATTATTTTTCCGTTGATTTAAGTTCACTGGAACAGAAGGATTAAGAATTTAAGACGAACGAATTGATGACTGCATTTCGTTTATGTGCAATAATACAGTACAGGCAGCAGCGTAGCAGCATGTTTTTGCTTATTCACATGATATACATCGATCGACCTCTGCTGAGAATAAGAGCGTTTTTTACACTAATAGTAGTTCGTAGTAGCTGCTTGAGTTAGTTACTTGCTGGTTTGGTAGGGCGCCTCGCAGAACTCGCCGCCGAGATCGTCGCACGCCTCGTCCGGGAACACCCTGCATCCATTCCATCCACACACACAGTTTCCATTTATAGTGACAGCCTGACAGGTGAAGTGCTACAGCTAATATGATTGTGAAGGCAGGGTTACGTTTTTGGCTCGTCGTAGGATAGGTACTCCCTCTCCACCTCCGGCGCCCTCGCGACGGCGGCAGCCGGGCCACCGGCGCCGGCGCCGAGCTTCGTCTCCGGGTACATCTGCGCGTCGCAGGCCTCGCCGCCGACCAGGTCGCAGGCCTCCATGGGGAACACCCTGCACCCCGCCCGCATTGGCCGGACGATATGGCAACCACCAGATGACAGATGATCAACGGCTCGGCTCAAGCTCAATCAGTGACCAAAGAGGTAGAGAAAACGTACGAGACGCTGGAGCTGTAGTCCGCCTCCGGCGCCGCGGCGGCCGATGCACGAACGGCACCGCCCGGCATCCTTCTGCCGCCGGCGGCCACGGTGGCGCTCCTCCTCCTCGCCGCCGGCCTGCCCCTTACGGCGACAGTCAGCACGGCCGACAAGGCAACGGTGGCCTGCATCATCTTCTGGTTAATCTGATCCTGTCTATCTAGAAATCTGAATACGAGGTTGTGGTGCTCGCTTGCTTTGCTGTAGTTAGCTTGACGATCAGGCTAAGCAGTGCCTGCTTATATACTGCCGTGAGTGTGTCCTGTCTGGATAACAGTGGGGCCATGTGCTCTCCTCCTATTGGCTGTCCACCTCAATGAGTGAGTCCTCCCACGGGACCAAATTTTTGTACCATTCCAAAAGATATTTCTTCCCCCCTCAGGCTTCATACTTATCTTGCCTCCATCTTTTGTTACAAATATAGGGAAAAAATATGCACAGGATAAGTAAAAGAGATGTCACCTTCTGACCTCTGTATTATGACTATCTGGCAAATCTACCACTGTTTTTCAGCAACTTCTGTTCTCCCTATTGCAACCAAGAAACCTACCGGTGTACGATGACATATATGCACTGCTGGCAACTAACTATGTATGATGAGAGTGCATCGCTACCCCAAAACCGAACGACCATCAGGAAAAGATGAATGATATGCACGGACATTCAGATCGTCGCAAATTCAGAATTCCCATATGGCCAGGATAGAGCAAAACAGAGCCGGAAACTAGCTACATTGCACAGCTTAACCGCAGGAAGCAGTACCATCAAGAAATGGCATACAAGGATTGTTTAAGTACAAACACAAAGACTTCTCTCGCATCATTAACAATGAGGTAACACTGAGAACAAGGACGGGAAATACTTCCAGGTTCTAACTACGGAGCGAAGCTCGAGGTACCGGTGGCAGTCCAAGCTCGTCCTCCTGCACAACATAACGAAATTAAGCGATCCATTATTCAATAATGGCTCATTCAAAACAACATGGTTGCTTAGTCATCGGTCAGCTGTAGCAAATCATGCAGCATCGTCCTACCAGGTATCAAATAACAAGGGGCAAACCAACTGTACCAAATCATGCAACTTTTTCCTAGCATGTTAACTTAGTGTTTGCGTGTGTGGAGGTTCATTGGTAAATTTATGCCTTTTGTCCAAAAATAACTGAAGGCATACGCGAGAAACTCAGGCATAAAGTGCTACCAGATACTGAACATTGTTCGGATTTCAGAACCCATGCACTATTTTTATCATGTTAATTCACCCCCAAGGAAATAAACACCAGAAGATCAGGATAATATTATGACAAGTTAAATATGCTGTGTGGATTGCATTCTGTTGTGCAATCTAAATGCACATGGAATCCACTTACCTGGTGCCTGCTTACGGGAACTGCTGCAGGATAAGTCGGTGCAGCGGGCAAGTTAAGATCAGATTCCTCATCTGGCTGAAGGTACGACGGAACTGCAGCTGACTCAAACTCCATGTCAGCTTCCAGAGCATCCAGTTCTGCAATGTTCGATACAAAAAAAAGGAAATGAGGACAGTAAATAGAGGACATCTAGACTATTTACGACTATGTAATTCCCCCCATAAGAGTACATGCCTGGGACCAACATGGCAGAGAAAGAAATCTAGACTATTTATGACATCGGGATTTATTCTCCAACTGAAAATATTAACTTGCATATTCTAAAGATTACAGTTTGCGAAAAGAGCAGTAAAACCCAGATAATGTTACAGTCTTCTCCAACTGAAAATACAGCCTCCATACCTCCCATTAGATCTTCCTCGTCAACATCGTCCGGGATGTTGTAGCTCCTACCAAGAGATTCTTGTATCTCGTTGCTCACGTCCATCAGATCCGTCATTTCATCTTGCATATTCTATAGATGACAGTTCACGAAGGAACTTGTGTTACCATCAAATGAAGGGAGAGTAATGAACAAACATTGAAAGAGAAACATTTAAGGTGGTTCATCAAGTCATTAAGTTGTACTCCCACTGTGGAAACCAAAGTAATTTTGTTAGGCCCTAACCAACTATGCCATTTTAACGTGGCCAAGTGCAAGAAGCACGACGAAGCACTTGCCTTGATCCGGGATGTTTAGTCTGTCTGTCCGTCTGTCTGTCTGTGAGGTTTATATTATGACCATCTGCTTAAGACTGTCGTTATTATGACTATGGTTATCAATGTACTCCCTCCGTTCCGATTTACTCCCTCCGTTCCTAAATTTAAGTCTTTGTAGAGATTCCACTATAAACCGCATATGGATGTATATAGATGCATTTTAAGTTTAGATTCATTCATTTTGCTCCGTATGTAGTCCACCTAGTGGAATCTCTACAAAGACTTGTATTTAGGAACGGAGGGAGTACTCATCATGGTTTTAGTTCAAGAACTAAAACCACAACGAGTAAATCGGAACGGAGGGAGTAGTACCTACTGTAGTGTGAACGGTTGTTCAAATTGCTCTGTTCGGCCTATGAGTGTGTGTCTGTGCGGGTAACCTCACCACTGGAACAAAAGGTTACCACTGTCCTGCACATAACCAAACAGCAGCACCTTGCATCTGGGCAAAACATGTCTGCAACCAAACAGCGTACTAGTGGTTCGTCTACAATGCAGGCTGAGGTTTTGTGGGCAACCAAACTAGGTGCAGAACATGGTTTTCAGCCTGAATTAGCTCAGTCGGGCTCTACTCAGCCACTGATGCAAGGAGGCCAAAAATGATGCAGGTAACCAGACAGACACTTAGTTGTACATCCCACTGTGGATACCACATTAATATTGTTTAGGCCCTAACCAAAAATGTCACTGTAAGGTAGCACCAGTAGGAGGTCGGTCCTTATTCGGATGGTTGCCAAAATGGCCATGGCTCTTCAATCACATCATATGCACTCTTTGCTATGAAAAGAAATTGATAGTTACAGAATGTAGGATAAACAAGGCTGATTGCCGGTACAATAATTTCTGGTCTGGCCAGATATTGCACATGAACATATAAGATGTAAAAAGAAGGATACAGTTTTTTTTTTTTGTGTGTGTGTAATTCTCTTCATGAAAACTCATGGATACTGCTGGGAAATGTGATCCCAGATTAGCCAATCGAAAGGACGGATTCTAGAGTTAGTATGATACTAAGCTTCTGATACGCCATATTTGACAGTACGAGTGGAGTATGCCCTTTCTGCTTAAAGTATTCATTGTGCCATACATATATTAGGCTATGTCTTGGAAATTTGCAGGTGAATGGTTACTGACATACGCATCCCCTCTAATTTAGTTACTGCTGTTTGAAACTAAGAGCATCTCCAATAGCTTGTCTATATGGATGTCTATACTCGTTTTCCACGACGTGAGCCCAAAACAGGCGTACAACAGCTTGTCTATATGGTTGTCCAAATATACACATCCTCTAAATCAACCTCGACAATGTCCACGCCTGGACAATGTGAAGGCGTCGTCCAAACTCAGCTGCAGTCATGATTTCTTCCTCTCCCCAGCGAGGGCCCACCTGTCATGGTCCCTGTATATATAGACGTTCTGATCTAAAACTGGACGTGTATATGAGGGAATTTTTTTTAGACAATTGTCTATATGAATATATAGACATCCAAATATACACATGCTATTGGAGATGCTCTAACTTAGATGATACATCATACACATCACGGCATCACCCACGACACTGAAATTGTAGCGAAACAAAACCTCACAGGCCATACAAGGTAGCACGAATCCGGCAGCAGCGACAGCAAAACAAGAAACGGGGCGGAGCAAAACGTACATCGATGTCCTCGATCTTGACGGTCTTCATCATCCCCTTGAGCTCCTTGTTGGCGGCCTTCATCGCGCCCATCTGGACAGACAGCAACCGCACTAGAGATGAAATGAACCGGCACAGCAGCACACAGGAGGAGACGGAGGGCGGGCGGGGCGTACGGTCTGCTGCGCGTCCTTGAGGCCGTCGGCGGCGAAGCCCACCTGGTCGAGGTTGTAGGTCTGGTTGTAGAGCATGTTGCGCTGCTCCTCGTACATGCGCTTGTGCTTGAGGAGCCTGATGGCGCGGGCCTTGATGGCCTCCTGCGAGGGGCCCGGCCGGGCCTTGCGGATCTGCTCCTTGTACCGCGTCAGCTCCTCGTCCAGCTTCTTGATCTTCTCGTCCACGCTCTCGCCCCGCTTGTTTATCTGCGCCACCGGTCAAATCGGAGCGGCATTGGATTGGATTTCGGGCGTGAGAAGGGGAAACGAATCGGGGGAGAAGGGAGGGGAGAGGCTGACTTGGTTGGTGGCGTCCTGGATGGTGGGCGGCGGGTCCCTGCTCTTCTTCGCGCCGAAGATCTTCTTCATCTCCGGCTCCGGTGGGCGGCGGCGGTTTCTCGGCTGGAGTGGAGGGACCTGGGGTGGGAGCAGAGTGAGTGCGTCTCTCTTTGTGTGTTTCGAAATTCGGAGGTGAGCCTTTTTTCTGAAACTGATATTGAGATGTACATGGGCTTCGGTTTATGGAAGATTGTGCGTAATGGGCTAACCAGCGGGCCTGCAAGTTAAGAAAGTTGGCAACTCAAGCGGGCCTGTCGGCCTAAGATGGAAACAATAGCATACTTAGAGCATTACTGCGAATCAACCTATGATTGAGTTGGTTAGGTGGACAGTGGTATTCCCAACCCATCAGGGTTCAAATCCTGGTGCTCGCATTATTCCTGAATTTATTTCAGGATTTTCGGCGATGCGCTTTCAGTGGGAGTAGACGTTCCCGTCGACGACGAGGCGCCTACGGTGACTTCGTAAATCTCAAGATGATATGCCGGCTCAGTCTCTCGGAGGTGCTCATAGGGGTAGGGTGTGCGTGTGTGCGTTCATAGGGGTGAGTGTACGCGCGTGTATATGAGCGCTTGTGTCTGTACTGATGATCAAAAAAAAAAACTTAGAGCATTACTAGTAGAACCCTCAAACCCTCAAATCCTTAAAGCAGTTTTAAGGGTTGAGAAGTGTCACTTTTTGATACTTTTAAGGATTGAAAAATACGGGCAAATACTAGAACCCTCAAACCCAACCTTTAAACTGCTTTAAGGATTGGATTTGAGGGTTCTAGTCTTTGCCTCAACCCCAACCTTTAAAACTGTCATTTCACATATCACACATTTCATCACATTCCATCATATGACATATCACAAATTCCATCGCATTTAACATAAAACAATAATCATTCTAGTTATTATTACACCACCGAATAAAACAATAATCATTCAAATTATTACAACAATGTTTGAGCAAATTACAATAATTGTTCGAATCAAATTACAATGTTTTTAGATCTAAAGAAGAAACATGTCCTTGTTTAATGGTCCAACAGATAATATAGATGAAAATTTTAGCACCAATGTCTGTCTTCAAACTATAGATATGCTAAAAGTAAAGCTTGGTGTGACATACAAATATAGCAATTATCAAAGTTTGACAATTTTATAAGGACGGACAAATTTGACCATGTTCTGATACTCCAAAAGTACCGTTAGTGCAACTGATTAGTGAATGTATACCTCGATCATTTCTCGGAAACCTCCTGACACAAGAAACATATTGCTTTTGATAAACATGTGGATGAACCAAGAACAAGGCCTGCTCGAACTCGTTGACGCAAAGCATCAAACAGCTCGTGCGCATGTGCCGCGCGGTGCAAAGAGTGGCAAATACCGAGGCGTGGCCTATGATTTCTTCTCTGCCGAGACCGGCTTGCTGAGTGCCTGCTACCGTGGCCGACGTCCTCGCCCTCCTCACGTTGAGCCGCGCGCGCGGCCGCTCGCCTCACCCTGCTCGCTGCGGGCCGCGACGGTGACGGAGGGACGGCGCGGCGCATCACCTCCGGCGGCGGAGGGCGGGCAGGGGCGGCGATCCGCGCGGAGAGGAGGAGGCGCGGCCGTCCGGGGCCGGGGATGGACGCGGCCGAGGTGTGAGGCGCCGGCGGGACGGCGGGGACGGCGGCGGGCGGCCGGATCCGCGCGACGGCGGCGGCGGCGCGGAGGTTGGGGAGGATGAAACTTCCCTCCCGCGCGTCGTTGCTAGGATTGCAGGTCGACCCCTGTTTTCCTCCCAAACCCTCGCTTCTACAGGTTGAAGATGTGTTTCAGGGTTGGGCCTCTAAAAAAATTTGAGGGTCTAAGGGTTAAAGGGGTCTAGTCTATGCACTTTTTTCTGTCCAAACTGTAAAAAGGCAGTTATTTTTACAGATTTAAAGGTTTAGGGGTACTACTAGAAATGCTCTTATCATCCTAATTTCAAAGAGAAAAGGAGAGTAGGTGAGCAACTGTGACTTCTTTTGTCATCCATTGGACTAATTATTATATGCTGCTCTGTATCGATTCCATCGAGTCTATTAGTTATAATAGTAAAAAAAATATTCTCTCATAGATTTCAAAATTAGAAATCATTCATCTTATGAAAAAGGTTTGTTTTGAACCATGGACTATGGTGCGTTTGGTCCAAGATCAATTTTAAACTGTGAAATTGCTCATGTTATATATTAAAGATTTTCTTTTCTTAAAACCCGCTTAAATTGAACCCACTTCCGGTTTTGGATTGGCTTTTGAACTTCGCGGATTCAAGGAAGTATCTGAAATAAATCTTTTATGTAGATAGTGCTATTAGATTATGACTCGCAAATTTTGTAAAAACTTATGGCGAGAAATAAATTAATTATTTTTTCCCTCACAAAACAATTGTTAGTTTCTCTTTTTTGGGGGGAAAAAGACAAAAAAAATTATGAATTTATATTGGTATCTAATCCATCGAGTTCCCAACATTCATGTTTTTCAAAAAAAAAAAAATTCTGAAACTTTGAGGCCTTTAAATTACTCTAAATATAATGTAAAAGTTTTTTGGGGTGGTGTTTTTTTTTTCATTTTTATTGTTCTTTGAAACAAATCACCAAAAAAGCATCAATTAATATGATCATTTGTCATCATCATCAACATAAAAGCCGGGGTACGTAAATGATTTTTTTTGCACTTGTTATTGCAGAAGACACGCATTGTCTTAATGTTTTGATGAATTTTATTGGTTATGGTTTTGTAGTATTTCTTACATATACATGAATTTTTGACATCTTTAAATATCTAAATTACAAAAAAATAAATCAAAACCAACCTATGATTCATGTTATGGTTCAAGATTTATTATCTACTCTTTCAGAAGGAAAAAAAAGCATTCATAGTTTAAAGTTCTACTATCAACCCATTGGCAAAAAGCGAAGCCTAACTTAGATGGTTAGGTTCTTTGCAGTGGAACTGGCTCACTAGGGTTCAAGTCCTAGACTTGGGACTGTTGTTCACATTATTTTGGATTTATTTCAGTCTTTCCAACGATATACGTTCAGTGGGAGGAGGTGTTCCCGTAGACTACGGAGGCACCTACAGTGACCTCGCCAATATAAGATGATGTGTTGACTCGGTCTTTCAAAGGAGATTACAAGAGTAGGGTATGTGTGTGTGCCTTAATAAGGGAGAGTGCACGAGCGTCTGCGTCTGCAGTGTTAAGAAAACCCATTCGCCAAAAAAAAATCTACTATCAATCAAGCAAAATGCGGTGGGTTCTATCCAAATAGATTTTTTTTCCCGTGTGTTACTTATGATATTATTATTCCATGTTTTCATGACTGGGATATTATTCCAAAAATAGTGTAGTGCTACTAGCAAAAAACTGGATTCGTTGCCTAGACGAGTACTCCTACTTAGTTTGTGCGCCCAATTAAGGCCTTGCAAGGCTGGGACGAGACTTGCCTGCTCTCCGCGCGTGTGCCCATCCGTGCTCCCGCGTACGTGGTTTAATTTATTTGAAATAAAATAAGGTCCGGCCCTATCCCCTTAAAATCAGGGGGGATGATTAGATTTGAAAGATAAAATGAAAAAAGACAGCTATAGGATGAAGTGGTAGCACGGACGGAAGTATGGGGAGGGAGCGGGCAAGCCGGATCCGCAAGGCTGAACATAATCAACGTGGAATTAATACCGCAGTAGTAGTAAGTTAGTTTGATCCGGGCATATGCGTGCGGGAGGCAGAGCCCGCTGTCAATGGAACTAATTGGCGATGGAGAGCAACGTGACCGCCAAGCTTTTTGCTGGATCAACAAGAAGCTAACATTCAGGAAAGCTTATTCGCAAAAAAAAAAAAAAAACATTCAGGAAAGCTTGTCTACCGACAGCGACAGTAATTAATTAATTTCCAAATTGAAATGTGGATATGGAAAACAAGGCGATCACGCATTAAGCACATTCCATGCTGATTACGATACGATGCTTCCAGGAAGCTTTCATGCATGCCTCACTCTTTCCATCTCTTCCCTGCCCCCCGGCGTGCTCCATATATACTCCCTCCGTTCGGAATTATTTGTCGTAGAAATGGATGTATCTAGATGTATTTTAGTTCTAGATACATCCATTTTCGAGACAAGTAATTCCGAACGGGGGGAGTATCTCGTTGCACCGACTGATGAGACAAGGTACGTCGCTAGGTTCCATACGCACGACCTTCGTCAAGCTCATTGGTAGCCCTCTAGCGGCTATCGAAGGAGCAATGGCGGCGGCGGCGCCGGTCGTTCTGGAGATGGACGTGCACTGCCGCCAGTGCGCCAAGAAGATCCGCAAGTCCATCAGGGACATGTTCGGTACGTACGCATGCATGCGCCATGCACATGAATCATCAACGCACGGATCATTGATGGACCGATCTAGCTAGTTGGTTGGTTGGTGGTGCGACCGATCCATCGATCTGACATGCATATGTATGTATGGATGCAGGTGTGGACAGGATCTCCGCCTCGCACCAGACGGGGATGGTGGTGGTGCACGGCGGCGACGTGGACGCGACGATGCTGCGGTGGCTCCTGCAGCGCGCCATGGGGAGGCCCGTCACCGTCCTCAGCGACGGCGGCCGGGAGTCGATGCTGCACTACGAGGGGATCAGGCACATGGCGCCCACGCACTACGCGCCGCATCCGCCGCCCTACGCCTGGGACCGCTCCCCCTACGCCGGCGGCGGCTCCTCCGCGCCCTACCACCACCCGTACCAGCACTGGGCCACGCCGCCGCCGCCGCACCCGCACCCGTATGGCTCTACGTCGAGCATGTTTGACGACAGCATCCCCGGCAATTCCTGCTCCATCATGTGACTCATGGATCGATCAGCTGCCCTAAATAAGTTCATCTCATTATAGGAAACTTATTCAATTAGTAGCGAGGTGATATTATGTTGTTAGATCGAGTAAGGAGTATGGTACGTAGTCGTCTTTTTGCATGCACAACGTATGTACGTACGCACTAGCATGCAGTAGCGCAGTGCTCTACTGGCTGCTGCTATGTATCGTGGCATTGAGTCTGTACGTGCAGGGTTTATTTTCACTGCCCTGCAGGGACCAGCTATATATTTGAGTTTGCTAAACCGTTTACGGGTCTGTCTGAACACATCTAGATGGGTCCTAATTATTGCACATCTAAGTGACTCAAACAAATATCCGCATGAATCTCCATCTAAAATCAATGGCACCCGACTTAGATATGCAATAGCTAGAGCACATCTAGATGTCTTTTAGCAAAACCGTTTGCATCATTCCTTGGCAATGACTAATTTTATTAGATTGTACATTTTTTTTATTAATTTGTCATGAATATCATGGTGCCATGCCGGCTACATTTAGAGGGTGTTTGTTTCCAGGAACTTATTGGTCTAGGGACTTAAAAAAGTCCCTATAAGTCCCATCTAAACCAAACAGGAGGGACTTATAGGGACTTAAAATGGGCATTTGGGACTTATGAAATAAGACTCTCAAGGAGGGACTTATAAGAACTTATAGTTGTAATATGGTCTTATAGGGACTTATAAGTCCCAGGAACCAAACAGGTAGGGACTTTTTAGGGACTTGGAACTTATAAGTTGGGACTAAAGAAAGTCGTAGGACTTATGAACCAAACAGGGCCTTAATTTCCATTTTATGTCTAGAAATTTTATTTTTGAATAATCACAGGGGGTTCTTTTTTTTGGATAATCATATAGTGTTTTACCTAGTGACAGAGTTACAATCCTCAGCGACCACATCACTAAAATACGGAGGGGGTGATCAAGCCAACAAGTCGTGCTGCCACTCTGACCATAATTCGCTAAACAATGTGCAACTTTGTTATGTATATGGGAAATTTTAACAAAAATAACTACCCTATCATTCAAGAATCCTTTTATCTCAGTAATCAGGAAGGGGCCCCTGAATGCATTACTCATGAGTGGAGTTTACATGGCAACGGAGGAGCCGGGGTTAAGGTTGTAGTCCTAACCTAAGAATCTTCTGTTTTTTGACTAACCTAACCTAAGAATCTTTTATATTCGCCAAGGGAAAAGTTGCCGTACTCGATGCGCAACGAACCTATCCACGTCGGCACGATCGTCGACCGCACCTTGCTCTCACTCCAGCCTTATAATGCACAGTTGATCCTTGCTCCTGTTGCAGCTCTCGAAGGCCTCATTGAAACCCAAAAAATTAGGTTGTAGCTTGTAGGCCCTGTCAAACCCGTTTCCCTCGCACCCATCTCGTCGCCTCCGGCGCCCTCAAATATGCAGACATGAGGAGGACATACGTGTAAAATAGTTAGGCTTAAGCGTATGCAATCTGCAGGGACGCGTGCGTATTTATATAGGGCGCCAAGGCCAGGAGATATACATGGTTGGTTAGGCTAGGATTGATCTCCAAGTAATCTAACTATCTAACTACCATGGGATCATATCTCTAGCCTAACCGGTTACAACAGATATACACAACACGCACGCACACAATTACATGTTTAACATTTCCCCTCAATCATAACTTATCTAAGTTGAGATTGTGCCTAAAAACTTCTAACTGCCGCAATGAGAGAGGTTTAGTAAACCCATCTGCAACTTGATTACCAGTAGGTATAAACCTGATGTTCAGCAACTTGTCAGCTACCCTTTCTCGAACAAAGTGATAGTCAATCTCTATATGCTTAGTTCTGGCATGAAAAATAGGATTAGCAGACAAGTATGTAGCACCAAGATTATCGCACCAAAGTGATGCCGCTCTTGGGTGAGAAATCTCCAACTCAGTCAACAAGTTCTGTACCCAAATAACTTCAGCAGTGGCATTGGCTAGAGCTTTATATTCAGCCTCTGTACTTGATCTAGATACAGTTGGCTGTTTACATGCACTCCAAGAAATCAAGTTGCTTTCAAGAAATATTGCAAAACCTCCAGCTGATCTTCTATCATCGGGACAGCCTGCCCAATCAGCATCTGAAAAAGCACTTACAAGCATTGAGTCAGACTTGCCAAGCTTGAGTCCATGACTCTTTGTTCCTTGAAGATATCTGAGTATCCTTTTGACTGCTGTCCAATGTGTGCTAGTAGGAGCATGTAAAAACTGGCATACTTTATTAACTGAGTATGAAATATCTGGCCTGGTTAAAGTCAAGTATTGCAATGCTCCTACTATACTCCTATACCTGGTGGAGTCCTCTGCTCCAAGCAATTCTCCATCATACAGCGACATCTTCTCTGAGGTAGACAAAGGAGTAGAGGACAGCTTACACCCTTTCATGCCCATTCTCTGAAGTATCTCTTGAACATACTTTTCTTGTGATAGCAAAATTCCACCTTTCACATTGTTTACCTCAATCCCAAGGAAGAAGTGAAGGCTGCCAAGATCCTTCAATGCAAACTCCTTGCTCAGATCCGCAAGAAGAGCTTCAACTGCTTTAGAGGATGAGCTAGTGACAACAATGTCATCAACATAAATGAGCATGAAAATAGTTATTCCCCTTCGGTGATAGAAGAACAATGAGGTATCCCCTCTAGAAGGAACGAATCCAAGTGACTGCAACTTAGCAGAGAGCCGAGAGTACCAAGCTCTAGGTGCTTGCTTCAACCCATACAAAGCCTTATCAAGTTTGCAAATATAATGAGGTGCTTTAGGATGTTCATACCCAGGAGGTTGCCTCATGAACACTTCCTCTTCCAGAACACCATGCAAAAACGCATTCTTTACATCTAGCTGTCTGATGCACCAATTTCTAGATACTGCAACTGAGAGAATTAATCTGATAGTAGCTGCCTTTACTACTGGACTAAACGTGTCCTCGTAATCAATCCCATACCTCTGTTTGAAACCCTTTGCAACCAGCCGTGCCTTGTACCTATCAATAGTGCCATCAGACTTCCTTTTGACCTTAAACACCCACTTGCAGTTAATTATGTTTTTGCCTTTGACTGGTGGAACCAAACGCCAGGTTCGGTTTTTCTTCAAGGCAGCATATTCTTCATCCATTGCTTCTTTCCATCTAGGTTCACCAAGAGCTTCACCAAAACTTTGCGGTTCACCTGTTGCACAAAAAGAGCCCCAACGAACACAACCATCTTTGTACACTTTGGGTTTAGTAATACCATTCCTTGATCTGGTGTGAGCAGGTGCAGGAGGGGGCGGCGCTGGTCGTTCAAGGTGCTGTTGGAGACGATTAGGCAAACCAGGCGACCCTGAATCTGCCACAGAAGATCCTCCAGGCGACTCCTGTAGCAGATCCTGCTGGATCCGAGGTGAATCTGGTGCAGAAAATTCCTCCTGGAAGGAACTGCCACTTGGCATCGCTGGGACGCCCCGCAGGCGCTGGTCGGGGGCGCGCGTGCCCACGCTCGGGTCCACGGCCCCACACGGGCGACGTGGCTCGCTACCGCCCACTCGTGAGGCCGATCCGCCGGGGCCCGCATGGGGAAGCGGCCGACCGAGGCGACAGGTTGGGGACCCGCCTGGTCCCGCTGCCGACCTGCCTGGTTCCGCGGTAGGTGCAGCCCGTCTGGCCACCGAATCAGAGGCGAGCGGCGATCCCGTGGTGGATTCGCCTACTGCGCCTGCCGCGCCTGACGCGGTGAATCCCGAGGCTGATCCGCCCTGATCTGCCTCGGTGTCAGCACCTGGATCATTTGTGCCCGCATACATAAAATCATGCGCATTTTCTCCATTTTCTTCACTGGTTTCCTGCATACTTGCATCAGAGTTTTGGTCAGAGGTATTACTGTTAGACGTTGACATGCGATCACCAGTATCTAGTACTCCTCCTTGATCAAAACAGGACGTGGGGAGAAGATGGGAAGGCAAAAGGACAAGCTCCTTGCGGAGTTGTGCGCCGGCGTTGGGATGTAGTGTGGCAAAGGGGAAAACGTGTTCATCAAAAACCACGTTGCGCGAAATATAGACCCAACCAATAGAAATATCGAGGCACTTGTATCCTTTGTGGAGGCTACTGTACCCTAGAAAAGCACATTGTTTTGACCGGAATTCAAGCTTGTGTTTATTGTAGGGACGTAGATTTGGCCATACAGCACACCCAAAGATACGAAGGAAAGTGTAGTCGGGTTTCTTACCAAACAAACGCTCTAGAGGTGACTGATTTTTGGTGACACGGCTAGGCATACGATTGATGAGATAGACAGCTGTAAGGAACGCCTCATCCCAAAATTTCAACGGCATAAAGGTATGAGCAAGAAGAGATAGGCCAACTTCTACGATATGCCTATGTTTGCGCTCGGCAGAGCCGTTTTGTTGATGAGCGTGGGGGCAGGAAACCCCCCAGTCTGTTTGCATAGCAAGGATCTTACGATCAAAAAGGCGTTCAACATGCTGTTGAAAGAGACGAAATTTCTCAAACACATCAGACTTATTTGTGAGCAAATAAATCCAACTGAACTTGCTAAAATCATCAATAAAACTCACATAATATTTTTGTCTGCCTACAGAGACGGGTCCAGGACCCCACACATCTGAAAAAATGAGTGTCGTGGTTCTAAGCCTGACAGTAGAGTGGGGGGTAGGTATGGAGAGGCAAGGTCCTAGCTATGGAGAGGTTGTAAGCACAAAGGATGTACGAGTTCAGGCCCTTCTCGGAAGAAGTAATAGCCCTACGTCTCGGAGCCCGGAGGCGGTCGAGTGGATTATGAGTATATGAGTTACAAGATGCCGAACCCTTCTGCCTGTGGAGGGGGTGGCTTATATAGAGTGCGCCAGGACCCCAGCCAGCCCACGTAGGAGAGGGTTTAAGGTGAGTTAAGTCTGGGGCGTTACTGGTAACGCCCCACATAAAGTGCCTTTACTATCATAAAGTCTACTTGATTACA